CGTGTGTTACAAGTGTGGTCTCAAATTATTCTCCAATGATTGTATAGCAGTATAGGTGATGCTAAATTGAACCTATATATATATATATATATATATATATATATATATATCTCGATTACGTAGCTTCCTTTTTTTATTCATCCATTGCAATATCCCATAAAAAAAATTTCTTCAAAATTTCAAACTTTGTGCTTCACTTTCTGCTCATATGTTTTCACTGGCAGGTTGATGTTTCTTTGCTGAGTTTGTAGGTAAATCTCTAATACATATAACAAGATTGATTATGCTTTAAAACGAAGAAGAGAAATTGATAAGAAGTCACAGACTCATGTTGTAAGTCGGTTTTCATCTGGGAACAAAATCGATCCGTATGTTGGTTTATCGAATTGCATGGATCGTCACTCATTCTGTAACCCAACATTTCAAGATATTCATAGAAACCCTAATTTGTTCGATTCATGATTGAAATTAGGGTTTTACTATCATCACTTAGCTGATTAAAGTTACAAGAGAATTGCTTCTTGTTTCTCTGTATTTTTTTACAATTTTTTTATCAAAATTTTGTGATATACATTTGTGTGATATAGATTAAGAACGAAATGTTGGGTTAACAAAATATATTAAGAGAAACAAGAAGCGTAATGTATTTTTAACATTTTTATCAAATTTTTGTGATATAGATGATGAATTCAGTAGTACGGAAATAAAATATCCCAGATGATAAAAAACAATTAGTTGGATACCAAATGTTAATGAGAGAGCTGAGTCTAAAAAGATGTTATATTTGATACACTAAAAAAAGAAATGAAATTTATTCCGACTATGCAATAAATGCAGGTTTTGATATTAGGCTAGGATTAGAGAAAACATGTAATCAAATCTTTCGTTATAAGACTAGTGGGTGTGGAGTCACACTTGCCATAGTCTATGTAGGCGTCACGTCAGTTTTGTCACACTCATTCAAAATTTTGTCATTTTCATGGTATGGGTTGCTACACTTGCCATGATATTTTTTTTAAAAAATTAATTAATTTAAAAAAATAAATAAAAATTTCAAACATATATTTTTTGTTTAAAACTAAAATTTCATTTAACTAGAATAATAATTAGGATTTATAAGTCAAGGGTTGATTTTGTAATTTCAGAAACTATTTATGTAGAGAGAATTTAAGATGGGGTACTTTTTGTTAGTAGACCAAAACCTAGGGACCTTTTATGTCAAATCTAGAAAATTGTGTTGTCTTCTCCCTCGAACCTATACACAACACGTTTATTCTATTTTTGTTACCTTGCAACTTCAAAAGAAAAATTAAATCCTCACCTTCGATCCATATCCCCAAACCATACACTCTCTCATAGGCACAAATTTACCGAGTTACCCAGCCGAGCTCAGCATGCCGAGGGCTCGGCCCGGTGTTCGCCGAGGTAGCCGAGGTGCTTGCCGAGACCACACCGACTAGCCTAAGTATGTATGATGCAACACATCGGATCAATCAAAAAGTTCATATTGTCACGTTAAATGGAAACAAAGACATGAAAAAAAGAACACGGCCAACGGGCCAAGCAAAATGAATCTTGTCCAACAAGAATAAGATTAATTTAAAATTCTTGAGGTGAAAGATATTTCATTCGGTCTTTTGAGAAAATGCATGATCATCCGTTAAATACCAAATATGTTGTGTGCATGCCTCGATAGCACAGGTTAATTTTTATATTAAAACCTTTATCCATCACTTAAACACAACTAACGTTGGTGGATATGATAAACGAGGTCCGAAAAAAACGACTGCAATTTTTTTTTTTTTTTTTTTTTTTGCAGTCTGGTAACGTTTAAACAAGACTACAGACATTTTATATATTTAAACACAAACAACAACATAGAATGTTTAGCGTAAACCTAATTTGCTGGACGATCTATCTAGCTATCTCTCGGTCAAGAAGATACTTTAGAGTTTAGACAATTCCACTTCTAGTATCCGATTTATTCTCGGTGGAAACAATCGTTAAGTTTTGCTGGGCTAAAGATATTATATGATCAACTTCAACTTTTGACTTTTGACGGTAGAAACTTACGTTCCGCTGCTAAGGGTAGTACACAACTAGTTAGGGAGGAGGGAGTCGTTCCCTCCCAACCCACCGAACCCACTGCCACATCAATTTTTCTCTTTTATTTTTCTTCATCTTTCCGAACCCACAACACACGGAAATCCTATCTTTTTGAACCAACTCAACCCACAAAATTGAAAAAAATACAAAACAACTAAGGTACAAGTTTTAAAACACATGGTACAAGAGAAAATAAGAAAAAGAAAGTAGAGAGAGATGATGAAGTGGGTTAGTGAAACCAATCAACCCACTCGTTGAAGCGGGAGTGGTACCGCCGATAACTCTATTGCTAATTAAAATTTTACATTTGATTGTTTTGTATTTTTTTTTAATTGAGTGGGTTCAAAAATATAGGATTTCCGTGTGTTATGGGTTCGGAAAGATGAAGAAAAATAAAAGAGAAAAAGTGATGTGGCAGTGGGTTCAGTGGGTTGGGAGGGAATGACTCCCTCCTCCCTTATAAGATAATATACATCGATAAAAATAAAAATATATATGATACCCTTGCTACCAAGTCTGAACCACCAATAATATATATATATATAGATATATATAGAGAATATATATATATAGAATATATATAGATTATAATATATAGATATATATATTATATAATATATATTGGCTGAGATCCGTTGAGAACTCATAGTTTCCCGAGAACCCGAGAACTAAAGGTGGAGCGTCGGATCAAAATTAATTCCTTAAGGGCATGATCGTCTTCTTACCAATCTCATGTAAGTTTTTGTATTATTAGATGTATTAATAAAAAACTCTCAAATTAACATTATAAATCAAAATTTTTGGAATTTTTTTATAAAAATAACCATTTTCGTTTTTTTTAATTGCAAATTTTTTAATTTTTTCAGAAAACAAAAACTTTTTAAAAAAGTTGAAAAAAAACATTTTTTTTTTCAAAAACTGCATTTTTTTTTAAAAAAAGTAAATTTTATAAACTTAGTAAATTAAAAAAAAAAAACACAAACAAAAAAAACTGGAATATTTAAAAAAAAAACTCTAACTTTTTTAACAAAAAAAAAAATCAACATTTTAGGAGCATATAAGCATATTTTTTCAAGTGAATGTATACATATTTCTTATACTATAATATTCGTAAGTATATCATACAAAAGACAAATTTTTATTTACTAATCTATAAACACAATAGAATAAATATTTTATTCGATACAAAATAAAATATAAAAAACAAAAAATGCTACAAATTTCAAAGCGTTTCATGTCTTCGTGTTAATATTTTTATATTTTCTTCAATTTATCATTTTTCATCTCTTCAATATTCACCACAATTTCTTTCAAATCTACAAGAAAATTAAAAAGAAATTGATTGATGCAAAAATACTCACAAAAATACATATGTGATTTACATGTAAATCACATGTAATTCATATGTGATTTACATGTGAATCACATGTAATTCATATGTGAATTACATATGTGAATTACATGTAATTCATATGTGATTTACATGTGAATCACATGTAATTCATATGTGAATTACATGTAATTCATATGTAAATTACATGTGATTCATATGTGAATAACATGTGATTTACATGTGATTCATATGTGAATTACATGTGAATCACATGTAATTCATATACACAAGTAATTCTTATATGATTCACTTGTGAATCACATGTAATTCATATGTGATTCACTTATGAATCATATGTAATTCATATGTGATTCACTTGTGATTTACATGTGAATCTCAAGTGAATCGTATGTGAATTACATGTAATTTACATGTGAATCACATGTAATTGGTATGATGGAATCATGCAAAGGAATGGAATTACTTTATCAAGTCTTGATTATGATCAAATTCCATAGAGTTGAGGTGTTGTTGTGTTTACCTTATACACTTATCAAGTCTTGATTCTTCAACATTTAGATGTTGAAGCTCAGTCGGTCATCAACAACAAGAGGGGAGGATTTAGGCAATGGGTATGATGGAATCATGCAAAGGAATGGAATTACTAATTCCATTGGAATGACAAAAATATCATCCTCCTCAACACGGGAAACAGTGGGTTCCACCTCCACTTTCTCTATTGGAAGCTTAAACGGTGCTTTTTTGGCATAGAAATATGAATGAACACTTCGACAAAGAACATAAGTATGCGTATGAGGTTAAGAAACTCTACCATGATCTCCAAAGTTACCTGAATATGAGAAAAGGGAAAAGGATTATGATTTCTTGTTGCCCATTTGAAAAAGAATTTAAAAAACACTAAAACAATATAAAGAATGATTGCTAGTTATCAACGTATAGGTACAGATAGTAGCATTTGAGAAACCTCTTCTTTTTTCCCTAATAGGTGCTGCTATCCGGACTAACATGATTAAACATGATTACCCATTCAACCATTTTACCCAAACAAGACTTGATGTGGAAGTCAACTTTAGCTATGTCAAATATAAGTATTAAATGTACATCATGAGTCAACTCCATTCAACTAAAATGAAATTAAACCAGTAGTATTGAACTAAACAACATGTAAAGAAAATAACTATGATCTAAAACATGAAAAACCATATGTTCATGTGATTCAAAATCAAATAAACGAGTTGCAACTTAACATTTAATTCAAGATTAGTATCTTCAAAACGGAAGTTTAAAATTGATTTTGCCACAAGATTGTTCTGTTTGCAGCAATATGTGTGATGTGTAATCAACATTAACTCAAAGGTTCAAAAACAATTCTGACATCTTAAACATCAGTTCAATATCAAGACAAGTGTCACCCCTTCTTCTACAGGATATATGAATGTTAGTACTCATAAAATTTGATGATGCATATTTTATATGGATTTTAGAATCAACATTTACACGTCACTTATTTGATTATAAAACCTATATCATAGGCCTTTAAATGAAGATTTTAAAAGTATGTCTCCTAAAATATTTTTACTTGCAATTTTCCTTTTTCACTGAAACTAACACATTGTGAACCTCGATTTGTACAGGGTGAAAGTATTGTGGATGGTGCTATTGCAAGATGTCGGAGTATGTATGGGCATGCTCATGATTATAATATCAACTCTATCTCTAATAATAGGTAAAACTCATTGCTTCGTATCCTAATTTAAGTTGCACTGTGATTTAATATTGGTGTCTTCCTAAGGGTGTTGTGATCCTTATGTAGTGATGGGGAGACGTTTATCTCTGCTGATGACCTTAGGAAAAACTTGTGGAACCTTGAGGTGAGTGACCAATGCTTCAATATCATTGACATGAAGCCATCAAACATGGATGATCTTACAGGTAAAATCAGATTCTCGTAATTCTTCCAGTTTCATATATTTTAATCACTAAAAATTGTTTTAACCTCATTATGTAATGTTTACTTCACGACAGAGGTGATAACATCAACATAGTTTCATCTAGTGCATTGCAATTTGCTGGCTTATAGCAGCAACAATGGATCTTCTTAAATATCAATCTCAACAAAATGGACATTTTGATCAAACTCGTCTATCACCTATAATAAGTTTAAGTACATTTTCTTTTTAATAATTAATGACATTTAAAAAAATATAATACAAATATTACCTCAGATTGATCCCAGAGTTGATTGAAGGCGACGGAGTCTCCGGAAGCGGTGAAGATGTTGACATCTCCGAGTACATCAGCGATTTCAGGGGAGAATTCGGCGGTGGAAGAAGCTTTTGGGACAAGTGCAGTTGGAGTTTTTCTTACTTGGATGTAGATTCAGGGAACGTATGGTGGTGGTTGTGGTCGGAGACAAGATAGATGATGCGACACCGGAATCGAATACAAAAATGATGTCAGATCCAATGGAAACGCAGCGTCGTTCTCCGCCTGAGACTCCTCGATGTCCTTCGTCGCCGATGATTGTTTTGGCGTCATTTCGGAGCCCTAATTGATCAATTAGGGCTTGAACTCTCAGCTTCTTCTTTGTTTTTGATAACGTCGTGAAGCTGAGGCGGCTGGTGGTGATTGGACGACAGGAAATAATCTGGATCGATTGTGGATCAAGATCTGAAGGCGGGAAGCAGTCGATAATGAAGAACGTGAGCGAGGAGGCACTCATTAGAGGCGATGCGACGGTAGGAGGTGGGATGAGAGAGAGTGAGAGAGAGAGAGAGAGATGAGGTTGACGTGATTCAATCTGGTGATCAGGATATGAATTATGTTTTCACTAAAATGCCCCTGATTTATTTAATTTTGATGCCCCCTTGTCTTTTTTTTTCCAAGTATTTACGAAAGTGCCATAAAGGATCCTAACCTTTTATTATTTTGATCTAACGGTCCTCGTTTGGTTCTCGGGTTCTTGGGAAACTTTGAGTTCTCAAATGATCCTTCCTCTCTCTCTCTCTCTCTTCTCTATATATATATATATATAATATATATATATATATATATATATATATAGGCTTAGGTTATTTTGTTTTTACTAACTATTGTGTGCCAGAATGCACAGATCTGGACCATCGGATGGAATAGAATCAAAGGTCATGATCTGAGGGTTTATGATATTACAATAGGGTAACATGTACCATATAATCACACAAATTTCAGCATAAGGGCATTTTAGTCAATTAATCTATATTAAAAAAGGAAATTTTTGGATTTTTAGGGATAATTAATTCCTTTATTTTTGAAATTTTGAATATTTTAAATTAATTCAAATTTAATAATCCGATTTTATTCTGTCAGAATGACAGAATGCCACATAAACTATAAATTATTATCGATTTTATTCTTGCAGAATATATTTCCAATGCAGATATTTTGATAATTAACCTGATTTAAGAATTAGATTATTATTCATATACATCCAAGTTGGGTCTGTGATTTTATTCGTAATACACATCCGAAATAAAAACAATTCATACATATTCTTACAGACTAATATCCTTATGCTTTTTAATATTTTATACATATTCTAACAGAATATCATAAAAAATGAATAAAATTCTTAAAAAATAACATTCTTAAATATACAATTATTGAACAAATACACTTGATCTTCTTCAGTGGTCCATATAATCCACTTGATCTTCGCATATATACTTGTTGTTGAACTCTATTCCAAATATTTCTCTTGTATGATCAATATTGAATTCCTTCTCCATGCAATTATGAAAGAATAAGCTACATTACTCGTTAGTATTACCAGTTAAACAAAAATACTTGTTGTTAACAAACATTCTCAAAAGACATTCTAACAGAACGCATATATATAAATAAATTCTAACAGAATACATTACAGAATGTACTTAAATCATAGTCTTTTTTTCTATATGCATAAACATTCTAAAGCATGTATAAATGTATTCTGTCAGAATTACTAGCAACACATGTTTTATGTAACATTTATATTCTCATAGAATGAACATGTGTTTGCATTCTAATATGAAAAAAAAATCCCCAACTTAACCCTTTTCATGCAAATTCTGACAGAATGTCAGCTTAACCCTTTTCATCAAAGACTAATAACATGTACCACTACAGTTAGAATAATTCTTAAACAGTGCAATTGACATATTTTTTTTGAACAATATGACCAAATTCTCAAAGAATGGTGAACAATATGTTATGTACTCTTATAGATATAATATGTTTCTTTATTTAAAAAATAAAAAAGAAGAATTCATTGAGGCATTTCATCGAACGGTGTATGAGCATACAGAATATGCAAATTTAATAAGAACAAAAAATTATCATTGCTTTTTCTAACTTTGGAAATTCAGGGGGACTTTGCCCTACTTTTGAATTCAAAGTTTTCCACTAAAAAAAGATTGGAATATAACATCATCTAAAATTCAAAAGAAATTATCTAAATAAATATTAATAAGGGATTAGAGAAAATATGCAAATGAGTTCACAGTTGTCGACTAGCAAATGGGCTTTAAGGAATCAATCAATAACATTTTTATAATCAAATTTTTTTTGCTTAGTTGATACAAAATCAGAAATTTCCAAAAGAATTTTAGTAATCTAATCATTTAATATATAAAACCAAAAAACTTTATGGGTGAATAACCGTAGGGGAACAGAGTGTTGGATTAGGTGTCTAAGC